GGTGTCATTTTTTGGCTTTGGCTTTAAAATAGGGTTTCACTTCACAGCACACACCTATCCGAAATTTACAGAAGTTCCCCTCACCCCAGGGGATCACCTTGAAAAATCCTGGCACTTGCGTGATAATAATCGCAAGCCTATGCATGACTCAAGAAAAAGAATGGCAGGTATAAGGGAGGAGAGAGCAGTGGTAAAAGTAAATCTTGAAAGGAGGGAGGAAAATGCGTTCAAAAGTGAGGAAATTGGGATACTCAATAACCTGTTTATTTCCTCTCTCCTCCCTTAGCAAATGGTCTAGTCAAATTGTAATTAATTTCACACTTACTGTAGCCACATTTTTTGCATCCCGTTCTTTGGCTCTCTGTATTCTGGTTTGTCAATCTCCCTATTAAATCTGGATATAGAAGGTATGACGTCTCTTACTAGTAACTCATATGAGCTTCGGCTTCAACTCACAGCACATGTACTATGACATATATTGAGGCGGACTTGAATAGAACGCCATTTTCAAAAGAATATTTGTAAACTGTACCTACCTTTTATATCTGAAGAACTCATCATTGAATGTAAGGAAGAATCTCTGCGCAGTTAAGAGTAAAAAGTTGTAAAAACGTGGCTTACTCGATAAGATTTTAAATGTTGTAGGTTCAAAACGCCGCCATGGTTATTGGATGCGAGGGACTGGAACTGACTTGTACTTAGACCCCGCTCAAATAGCGAGACAACAAAGATGGCGGTCTGATTTTAGTGTTGCCGTCTTTGTGTATGTTTACGCTCCATTTTATTTCACCAAAGTGAATAGATACTGCTTGATCAAATGTCGCATCGAAAAGCAAGTAAACGTAGGAGAGAACCAGATGGAGATGGAGACTTCTCTCCTTCTTTCCTCTCGCAAACAAAACGATCAAAGTCAGATGAAGACGGTGAAGAAATAGTTGAACGGAATGAAAGTCCACTACATACTTTACAAGACACCGATACCGGGGTCAGAAGATCATCAAGGCCGCCTAAGCCTAAGGTATTTGATGATGAAGAAACTGCTGTTATTGGTAGAACTGTTGAGGCATCTTCAAGCTCAAAACCAGGCGATTCGGGATTAATTCAGTCAATTTTGCAACCTTCTACCATCTCTAAACGGATTACACCCAAAAACGAACCTTCGATCGCCAGAAAACAAAAGAAGTCGAATCCTACTGTCTCTTTTGATGAAGGTCACAAGAGGGAAACTAGACGAAGTTATCAAAATTATCTTGAAGAGCTCAAAACAGAGACAGATCCTTTTAAAACAGCACGAAATGAAGTAGAATGTATAGAACAGACAACAAGTAAAAAGCAACACAGAAGTCGTGAAAGAAAAGTCACACAAAGGAGAAAATCAGATGCTACCAGTCAAGTAGTTGAAAGTACAACACCAAAGACCACAGGAGTTATGCAGAAAAAAGAAAAAGGTACTTCTAACTCAAGGACTAAGAAAGAAACTCCAGATGAGCCCTCACCAAAGGTCAGGATGTCATCAAGGACCCCTGTCCCTAAGAGGATCTTTTCACTGCTTGACGAAGAAGAAAAAGCAGAGCAGAAATCAGAGGAACCTGGTACTCCAGAATTGGAGAATGAGTCGGTAAATTCAAGTTCTCCTAAAGCGAGATCCTCTTCAAGACCTCATATGCCAAAAAAGGGTTTTCCTTTACTTGAGCAAGAAGACAGAAAGGAAGAGAAGCAAGACGTGCCAGAATTAACCTCTTCCAAAACAAGAACTCCAAAAAGTCAAGGTACCAAGAGGAGACTGTCAACAGAAGGTTCAAATGATCGGAATCTTTCAAAGAGCATTCCAGTCACAGGTGATGAACCTTCGCCTAAAGTGCGAGTGTCATCACGAGGTCATAAGCCAAAAAGAACTTTCTCACTTCTTGAGAGTGATGAAGGTTCTGACAAAAATGAAAAAGAAAGTAACCTGTCTGAAAAGATATCCGAGGAAGAAAAGTTTGTGTTGGCAAATCAAATTGAGCAACAAAAATCCACTACACCCAAGGAACCCAAGAGAAGAAAAAGTAACAGCGGTCAGCAGTTCAGTAAAGTACAGTCATCGGCCAAGAAGGGATTAAAACCGTCTTCACACCAGGGGAAAGAGAAGTCAGACAGTGTAGTGGTCAAAGTGGAAGGGTCAGATGTCAGTAGATATATCAGCACAGAAGCTGTTGTTTCAGAAAATAAGGCAGCTGTTATTACCCCAGCATCAGAGACAAGCTGGTCAGCAGGTTCAAAAGATGACCAAGGTAAAGGAAGGTTAAATAAAAGAAAGGGTAAACCTGTCAAAAAGAAAGTCACTACTTCACAAGAGGCTCAGATGTCAATGGTTGGTGTACCTGATGTGAAAGTCAAAGTCGAACCTGAGCTTAGTGCTGATTATGAAACATTGATTTCTCCAGAGACAATCACAACAAAGGGCTCAAGTAAAAAGAAACAAACTCAATCACTTGGTAAAAATGTTGTCAAACAAGAAGGTGTGGAGAACACTGAAGGATTTTCTCTGAGTGACATTGCCAGGGGTGTTATTGATAGCTCTACAGCATCCAGTGATCTAAATACCAGTGTATCAAAAGGTAAAAGAAAAGGAAAGCTAAGTAAAGACACAAAGCAAAAAGCTAACAAAGATAAGAGCAAGGCCCTTGACAGGTCAAAGAAAGCCGCAAGCAATTCTGACAGTAAAACTGAAGAACACGAGCACATCATCTTAAAATTACAACTTCCTCAATCAGAAGATTCGACAAAACACAAGAAACATCATCATCATCATCACCATCACCATCACCATCATCATAAGCACAAACATTCCTCAGGAAGTCATGAAAGTGGCTCGCCAAAGAAATCACATCACAAGAAATCTGCAGCCAAATTACCTGATGAAAGTTCAGATCCTGGTGGAAATGAAAAGGCTGTGATAAAAAAGAAAAAGAAGATCTCCATCAAATTCAAGGGTCTCTTGAACAATGAGCCAGGAATGGCAAGTAATAACCTTGAACAGAGTAACAGTGCAGGACTTAACTCCACTGAAAAACAACCTAACGAAAGTGGCAAAAAGAAAAAGAAACCAAAAAAGGCCATTTCTCATGATGAAGAGCAGTTACAACCTTCATCATCTGAGGGTGAACGTGTTAGGTTGGTGATTAAAAAAGATAAGATTCCTACAGACAGTAAGTCTGGAGATGTGAAGACAAAGAAGATCTCAAAACCAACAACGTCAACTTCAGCTAACCAGAAGAAAACCGCTTTAGCAACAGAAAGTAAAAAGGGAAAGGGAAGTTTAACTCCAGCAAAACGTACCAAGTCACCACAGGTATATTAAGTTATTTTAAAAGAGGCATCTGAAATTGTAAGTTAATGTCTGTACATCATCAATTGAGTGCAATTAAAAGCTCTCTGGAAAGCAACATTTTAGGGGGTGGTTCCTTTGCGACGTTTTCATTGCATTTTGACAACTTGTTCTTCAGGTTGATCAAAACCTAATTTTCTGTATGGAATGCAGTTTCTTTCCTCCGTTAGAAGAACATGGACATATTTTCTCAAAAGCATCTCTAAGAGTCAAATTCAAACCAAGATTTTGAATTCCAATTGACTTACATGCATTGAATAAAACTCATCTTTGATTGTTTATTGTTTGTTCCTAGAAGCCTAAAATAGTAACATCCTACCTGCTGTTTTGCAAGCAGCATCGAAAGAAAGTAGTGGAAGAAAACCCTGGATTAGGTATATTTTCTGATTAATTTATGCACAATTTGGCCAGAAAGTAAAGGTAACATATTTAATTGGAGTTTTTGCTTCAATCTTGCACTTAGAATTTACTGAAATTAGCAAGAAAGTTGGCATCGCTTGGAACAATCTTAGTGAACAAGACAAGGAGGTGAGAAATTTATTAATTATTATTCTGCATTAGGAAGGCTGTTTCAAAGAAGTTGAAAAGAGGCTAAGAACTTCACACAAAAAGCACTTAGATTATAAATTTCAGGAGTGCTTTCTCACAAAGTAGTAGTACTTGTGTATCTTATACAGTTATGTAATTGCTCCATGTCATGTCAAACAAGTATGGCTTAAATAAATTTTTGAAAATAAGAAATGGATGTGTAACAAAAATAACAAATGTGGGGGAAGAGATCTGGCCATAGTTAATAGAGGGAAATGGCTAAGAAGTCTGGTAAACATCAAAATAGCAAACAAACAGACTGAGATGTACGTTGGAAGACCCTGCACATGCAGACCCTTGGCCCTGCACATCTTTTGTTTTATGTGCATAGACTATGTGCATAAAACCACTTTTTGTATTTTGCCAGGTTTTGTGCAGGGTCAATCCCCAAAACAGCCAACAAAATCATACAACAAAGAGCTTGCCAGGTTTCATAACCATTTCTCTCTGACTACTAACTATGATTGGCTTAAAGAATCATCATAATTTATAGACATTACCCTGCTCTTATCAGGCTGATTTTTCAACAACTTTTGTATCTCTATATCCTTCCATAGAGTTGGCGGCAAGAAGCAGAGGAACTCAAGAAATCTCTTGGACTCAGCAGCCCCAAACCTTCAATCACATCTAAAGAGGAAAAAGCGGAAGCTATTGACTTAGCGGCGCACTTGCAACTCTTGGGGGAGTCCCTGTGTACTGTTGGAGCCTGTCTTCGCGTACAGGTGAGTAGAAACTTGTAGACTTACAGAGGGTGGGAAGGAGGGGTGGCGAATGGTCCCTCAAAACCCCCAGGTCTTGTAAGATGTTTGACAAATTTCATGGGTCTTGAAGTCTTGTCTTTTATAGCAATTGTATGTGTCTTGCAGTCTCAATCTTTTCATAAAGCTGTGTTGGAGTCTCAACTTTTTGCGAGGCTAAGAAAGTCTCAAAGTCTCAATTTTTTTTTTTGTCTTTATAAATGACATCTGAATGTCTTGAATACTTTGAAGTCTCGGTCTCGCAATTTAGAAAGTCAAAATGTCTTGGGCCCACAAAGAAAAATGCTCACATTTACCATTCACCATCCTTGGAAGGGTATGAAGGAAATGAAATTTATATCCTTCCAAAATGATAAAATATAATAGCCCAGGGATCACATTCATTGCAATTATGAGCTACACACATTGTAAGGTTTGAATCTAGTAAAGTAGGGTCTAGTTACTCATGAAACATTTTTTTACGGGTTATAAATTATTAATATTTGATTACATTTTATTTTCGACTTTGAACATTCTCAAACTGTAATTTTGTACATGTATAATTTATGTAAGTTACAATACTTGATTACAAATCTACCTGTTACCATTTCTGTCTTTTTTTGTTCTTGAAGGATCCAGGTGAAGTCCATGGCAGTTTGTCTGTGTTATTAGACTCCGCCCTGTGTGCCATAGCACCTTTACTGTTTCTAACATCGCAAATACCAGAAATAAATGGTTGCTCCGTAAAAACCCAGGTAACCTTAAATAAATAATTATATAGCTGTATGTAAGAGATCTACCCTAAGGACCCTAAGATTCGTGTTGACATATAATGCATCTTGAGCCCATCTTTATACTAAAGACGTACAGCCGGCGAGGAAACATTATCCTTCCGATGGTATCATAAAAACAGCCAATATCTATTGTAAGTTCTCTTTACAGTATTGCCATATTTTAACAAGCAGACAGGTAATGGAAATAAATGGAATTCATTGAAGACAGGGTTATTTTATTGCTGCAAATCCAAATTCTCAGACCTGATATTAAAAGATCTGTAGCAATCAGTTTGAGAATTTGTCTTTTGAGCTTGGGATTGCAAGGGTTGGGTGGCATTTTAGTTTGAAATCAACTCATGACAACTTCTGTTCTGTTGTTATTTTGACAGGCTGAAGTGTTGGATAATCTTGCTTACCTGATGCCTGGCCTGGGTTGAACTTTGACTATTGTTATTTATACAACGTACAGTGTAAATGTCTACAATGTGGGAAAAGTAAATTAAATACTTTCCTTGTTTCTTTAAAGTTATCGGCATACATTAATGTATGAGAAAGTCTTAAAGAATAAGACAGACATTAAGAGGAAACAATGCAATAGGCAAGATGTTTTGGACTGAACACAAGTCAAAGTAGTTCTGTCATACTTTTGGGAAAACAAGAAGAAAATGCTTCATAATTTCCTTGAGGAAATATGCATAAAGTGATACCAGTGTTGTCATGAAACAATATGTAATTAGTTTGGACATCTTTGTGGCTTATGACAACTTTCTGTAAATTTCATTTAATTTAACTATTTAGTTGACATGATGATAGATGAGAATGCAGCCATAACACTACTAGAAAAAAGACCTGAAAAAATTTTCAGGCTTTTCAATAGTGTTATGGCTGCATTCACATCTATCACCATGTCTACATTTAATTGCTACTGTTGGACATCTATTACTATGACTGTTTAGTATATCAGAATTGTGGGGCTAAATGAGCTTTATTTAGCAAGTGTGTCAATTTCACCTCCTCCTTCCTCTCCAAAGATCTTAGAGTCTGATTGGCCAAATTAAATAGATGACATTTAGCCAGTCAGTGCATGTAATTTAGCTTATTTTGTACTTTGTACCTTTTTAGCCTGTGAATTTTTCTCTCAAAATGTTATTTTATCATTATGTAGTGCTCATGAGGATTGTTTGGAAATATTGTGATAATTTTGCACTTTTAATGAGCATTTTTAGTTAATATTTTAACTTATTCGTAGTCAATGTGATGAACTTCCTTAGACTAGAATGACTGTGATGACCATTATGTAAAAAGTTGAATTGTCAACCTCAAAATATAAATTCTCCTTCATAATTATTAGTTTCATTTAATCTTATTATCATAATTTGGTTGCACATCAAGATCACATATTTCTAAGCTATTACCCTGTATTTATTTTGCTCTTTACTCTTGTTGTGTGTTTACTTTACTTTGCTCTATAGCCAATTTAGTTGCATTCACTTGTTATTTTGAAGAAAGATGTGCTCATTTAGATGCTTAATTGTATCCATAACAAAATTCTTGATCATGATTGGTTCTCTGCACGCCTATTTGTCACGTAATCGGCACACAATCTTGTGGGCATCCAATTACAGGTATCCAATTTGAACTTTTCGTAATTGGACACCTGTAATTGGTTACCCATGTGATTTGCATGTCAGTTGCGCTCGTTTTAATGGCTTCCTTTGCACTGTTTCCTACAGTTTCCAATACTTATGAAAAGCGTTGCAGACGTTTTCGCTCAAAAGAAGTTCTCAAAAGACATTTTTAATTGCAAAATTTGTTATAGATACAATTAATTAGTAATTGGACCTCCTGTCGAACAATTCAGGGAGTAATCATGCTCATAACTTCAAATTTGCCTTGCGCTTCGAGCTCATCCGATTTCAAAGTTACTCATGCGATTGCTCCCTGAATTGTACTCTACTCGGTCCAATTATTATTACTAATAGCCTGATTAGATGCTGCAGAATATAATCAGCCTATCAGGGTCTTGCCTCCTATGCAGACACTCTTTGGGCTCATCATGCAATCTTCTTCCCTCAGTCCAAAGAACGTCTGTGTAGGAGGCTAATTAGGTTCAAGGAAGCTAGATATTCTGCCATTTATAGCCTAAAAAAGATTTCTTTTGCTGGATTATTTACCAATTACCAGTCCCAAAAATCACCTATTGTAAAATTTGGATAAATCACTATTTGACAGCAGGCTTTCCAAAACTTTAAATGGTGCACTTACTTCTTCAGAAATCATTGTCAGCAAAAACAATTAAAAAGTTTGCATTTTGTAGTATGTTCGCAGTTTCTCATGTCAAAGTCACTTTCTGCCCTCTGGAGAAGTCCCCCTGCTTATTGTGTCTGCTATAAACAGTACTTGTTCCCAGCAGGCCCTCAAATCAACCATTCATAATCATGATACTGTTATCACCATGATAATAAATGCAAGTAATGGTCCTCAGTAAGAGGCTTGGGCCCCACTGGCAACAACTGCACTACTCCTGATGTACACATGGTATTTCTATGGTATTTATACAAGTATCCATATAGCATATTAACACAGTGAATATACAATAGTCAATCAATTTCCTGGTATTTAAACATTTCCTCTTCAGATTGTGTTTGTCTTGGTTAGTTTAACCTCCTCACATAACTGTGTGGCTCAGGAGCAGTGGCCTATGGTTAGTGCACTTGACTCCAGATTGAGCAGTCCCGGTTTGAGTCCTGGCCGGGGACATTGTGTTGTGTTCTTGGGCAAGACACTTTACTCTTACAGTGCCTCTCTCTACCCAGGTGGGTACCAGGTACTGGCAAATTTAATCCTGGGGGTAACCCTGTAGTGGACTAGCATCCCATCCAGGGGGGAGTAGAAATATTCCTAGTTGCTTCATGCTACAGAAATTGGGATAAGCTCTGGCCTGATGGGCCACTTGGCTCGTATGCAGACTTCACCTTTATCTCACTACCATACAGGGCTCATACTAAACAGAACTTAGGAGACCCAGGGATAGTGGGAGCCAAATGACACCTGGCATTAAAAAAAACAAAAAAACATTCACTGCCCTACCCCACAACCCCAGTTAATAAGGAAATACTGAAATTCGGAATTGGCCGTTCAGAAGTCTTGTCTACTGCCTCAAATTACCTGTGCATGTGATATCAATTTGCAGAATTTTTTGTCAAATTTCATTCCGTCTCAACATGGCCATTTTGGCTTGACTGTCACCAAAATACCAATCACGGCTTCACCAAATTTAATTTGCCAGGCATGAGCAATGATAAGGCTGAAGTGTTCAAGAAATTTAAAATTTGGGAGGGCCATCAACTCATAAACAGGAATTGAGGCCTGTCGAGTTTTAGATTAATTGGGATTTGTCAATTGAAATGTTATCACCCACTACTTGGGAAGCCAGCTGGCCTATTCTTAAAGCTTCCTGTAAAAAAATTCACGTGATTAATGGACATTGTGATTAAAGAAAACGAAAATCATGCAAATTTTAATCAGCTTTTTCTGTGTAACGAGTCACCTTTTTAAAAGTTTGATTTGTTCTCAGGAGTTTAGTATGCCGAAAACAGTTAGGAGTCAAGGACAGGGTTGAAAATAAACTGGCAGAGTGGTTTTGCGTTACGCGTGACTAAGTGCGCGATGAAAGTGCGAGTATGATATTTTAAAATGTGAAACAAACGCGCAACGCTATTTGCCCGGCTATTTGGTGCTATTTATAACATTAAAGATATACATATATCTTGCTTCGAAATCATCTTTTTCTGACTGACGAGATAGAATTAAATGTTCCTGTCGGGAACTTAAATCAATACTTGAACAGGAAACCACAACATCAAGATATTTGTCTGGCTTGTCAACGTTCGGCATTTAAGCTTAGCGCTTACAACATATCTCATATCTCATCATAGTTAGTAACTATGATCTCATAAATTAAATTTCCGACACGGATTCACAAAGGTTACCTTGAGTTTTTTACAGGTATCGGATTTTAGGAGGAATAATTTATGCGGTATGATGAAATTTTAAACAATAAATGTGGGTAACGGTTCGACGCATTTTGGCGCCAAAAAAGTGTGTCTCGTTAATTAGTATTGTTTCTATGTAAAACTAGAACTGATTTTGTTTTCAGATAACCTTTAAATCGGTCAAGTTAAATCACTCCACGGCTGAAATCTTTCAAGCACATGGCATAGTAATGGCAATCACGCGGGCTACAGTGATAAAAATGCGTTTCTTTAAACGTTGTGCCGCCTTTCGAGTATTCGGTATTCGAAACCGTATTGTCCAGACCTTGTCTCGCTTGGTGTCAACTTCTGCTTTGTTCTGTTAGAGAGAAACGTACGCCACGTGTATACACTTCTGCTAGAAGGATAAACAATGAAAATGTAAATAGTATTGATTTTTTAAACGGTCCTGCACCGCCGAGTACAATAGACAGAGTGACGTCGGATACACGAAAAAACTTGTTGGAGGGCCCAAAAAGAGTGCAAAAACTCACTTTTACCCATAATAGCATTTTTGCACCTTGATTTACTTGGATGAAAGCTTCACTTTTCTGATATTTTCAAGGAGTGCATCGAAAAATCGCAAAAACATTTTGGCGGGCATTACAATTTATTCGCCCGTTGAGTGAGTTTATAAATACATTACAAAAGGCGGGAAATTCATTTGATCGGTTTAAACCGCCGCAGTCACGAGCAGCGCTGTTTAAAAATGGCTGACTTCCTGACGATTTCCCTTCAAAAAAGCGGTATCTACTTCCCTCAGCCGGGTCCTAAGCTCTTTTCGATGAGCAAGCAGATGATTCGACCTGTCCCGAAGCTTGAAGATGTTTCAGAGCAATTCAAGTCACAACAGAACCAAAGAACCTCCGTCATCGTCTGGTCGCCTCCGACAACGCCAACAAACAAGTTCATGCCGCCTTCTCCTCCACAAACTCCAACTACACCGACTGGAACGCCTCTAAACTACTCTCCAACTTCACCGAATGTTATCCCACCCAGAGGACGACCGAGGGCGGATGTCGTGAACATTTTGATGAAGGAGGGCCAAAATTCATACTCTTCAATCCGATGCGATGTGTGCAACCGGGTTTTCCCGCGCGAAAAGTCCTTGCAAGCTCATAAGAGAACACATAGTGGAGAGAGGCCGTACGTTTGCGACTTCCCAAACTGTGGAAAAGCTTTCGTCCAAAGTGGCCAACTGAAGACTCATCAACGGCTTCACACAGGTGAAAAACCATTTGCTTGTACCGCACAAGGTTGTACGACTCGCTTTACCCACGCCAATCGCCATTGCAGCATTCATCCATATGCAAGCCTCAAACGCATCTATACTGACATTCCACTGAAAGAAATCCTAAAGAACGAAAATTCTGAACCTAACGAGTACAAAGCAGCTGTGTTACAGTGGCTAGAGAACTACGAGCTGGACAAAGACGAACGAAACCCCGCCAAGCTTGAAGAGAAGGTTCTGAAACGAAAGCTGGAAAAGGAAATTGCTCGACAGCAAGTTATTGAGCGAAAGAAATCGAGGGTTGAGGCAAGAAAGCGAATGGCCGAGGCAAAAGAAAGATGGTATGGAGCTATGGCACTTGTTGAACTTGCTGATGCTCAGCTGAACTGTAATTAACCCTTGAAATGTGAGTTTGAGCCACTTCCTGTAAACAACGTTTTGGCGGGCAAAATTTAAATGTCTACGATGTTATTGTAACTATTTTTCGAGTTTTCGCTCAAAATGAATGTTTGTAGCGTGTTATTTGAGTTTGCGTTTTGATTTGTATGACCCAGGTTCCATTTCAGTGTGTCTTTGAGAAATTTTGAGAAAAAAAATGTAAAGTTTCACTTCGGTTCATTTCGTAACCGCCACAAACCTTTGTATGCAAATAAGTTGTATTTATTATGGTAACTATGAGTGTAACACAAGCGTACTTTCCATTTCATATCACAGATTAGTTGTATATAGAAAAAGAGCATTATAGTTTTAGTTCAGAGAGGTAGAGATAAGCTCATTGTAAAAATAATTTGTACCATTTTGTAGACAAAAGACTATTCATTAGTTAAACATCCACTGGACAGAGCTTGCTAAATTAAATATTAAGATACGAAGTTAAAAACTTTTTAAAGCATCTTCAACCTTTGATTGTTTGATTCCTTCATTTGGCCATTTCCAGACAAAAAGCTTTTAAATTTTTTAACTGATGATTTCTCCTGTTTTATGAAGACAGTATTGAAATACTCTTACTAATCAGATGCATTTAGCGACTTTGTATTTAGTATTTATGATAAATAAAAGATTTAAATTATATAAAAACAGTATTTCATAAATTGTCTCACAACTTCCTGCAGACACCCAAGAAAAGCAATGGAAGTTTCAATTGAGTAAGGATTACTGCCATCTGTCCCAAAGGCCTTCAAAAGTCCTTCAAACTTTGTCAAAAGCTGGTAGAAGATAAGTTATTCTGGCTGAAAAATGCCTTCGATTTTTTATCAGCACTCCCTGAATTCTTGAGGCTAGTGGAAACGAAAATAATTTTGCTTTTGCAGGGGTTGTAATACACCTGAATATAAGTTAAGCAAAGAAGTCTATATTGAAGAATATGTACCACATTTATATTTGAATATGCAGCCAATACTACTTTCAACAGGGGTTAGGCCATGTATCTACCCTGCCTAGACAATTTTCTCTGTGATCCCGAGGAAAAAGCCTAGAAATATTGTTTAATTTCCCTTCAAAGTACTTAAAAAAAAATCGTCTGCTAACCCTTTGAATACCAAACTTTTGCCAAAAAATACTGTTTTTAACCATTCAGTCAGGTTTTTTGGCTGCCATGATGCTAAATAAGCCCAACTTTTGCTATGAAAGCTTTTTTTTACCAAAAGGAGAGATTTTTCGAGGATTGGGTACAAAATTGAGCAATATTTTGATTCCAGGCATGCACATAAGCCATAATTTGGCCTTTTTTTTTGCCACTACCTGTTCTTAATTTTGTTTGTTGCCCCTTTCCTTTCTTTATTTCTCGGCCCTTTTACTCTGGCTACATTTTGCATTGCATGTTCTTTCTGGCTGCCATGAAAAGTTGGATGTTAATTATGGGCGAAGCCTAGAAATGGACCTCGATCAATTATAGGCACAGTGGACCATTTACCACTGTTTTTACACCAAAACTGATAACATTTTTCGATTTGACATTTTGGAATGTCGTCAATATCTAAACCTGACCATTTTATGGAAAGGCCTCTCCCAGTACTATCTGCTTATCAAGAATATCTGATGACATTTAAATTAATGACATCACAAGTGGTACAAAGAGCATGACCATTACTTACGCATATATGCGTAACTGGTATTCAAAGGGTTAAGTCTGAATTGACTGCTATGCTTTATTTCACTTTATAACATAGTTAGGACCCTGAGCACACCCTGATTGATCAAAAACCCATGTTTTATCAGAGTATGAAACCTAGTAAAAGCGTGTTTAATTTTGTTTTGCCACATTACGTCTATCATAAAGCAAATGAAGAAGCCTAAGCCGTGTATTACCCTGTGATAAAACACTCCGGAAATTTGAGAGCACTCAAGAAATGTAGAAAACACTCGCCTGTGGCTCGTGTTTTCTACATTTCCCTTGTGTTCTCAAATGCCTGTTGTGTTTTATCACAGTGTAATACATGGCTTAAGCTTCTTTATTTGTAAAAATAAATATTGCAAATGATACATATCCATCCCTTTCTAACAATATTTGGCAATGCCCACGGACACCTTAACCTGGTAACAGTGCATGCATCTCTGTACTACTGCAATTTAATTTTCATGCCCGAGTATGCACTTCCCACTTTCTTATTCGACAGCTGCATATTTCACCTCAAAAGTAAACAAGACTGCAAAAATAGTAACTGCCAGCAGTTTATCACGAACCCTAACCAATTTGCCATTATCAATTTGTACTCCTGCCTGATGATGGACACGTGGGAACTAAGGTGTCTTGCCCAAAAACACAACATGAACCCTGCCAGTCAGATCTGGAGTCCAGCTCACACACCTATCGGATAATGTATCTGGACTTAGGCAAAATGGTCCAGATACCATGAGCTTACCTCAAACCCCAGCATTAAATTTGCAGGACTGGTACCCATCTAAACACCTGGATCGAGAAAGGCACAGTGAAAGTCAAGCATCTTGCTCAAGAATACAACGCGATGATGCCAACCAGGGTTCAAGGTTAGGGGCTTATGCCCCCCCCCCCCCCATGGAGGGGGTACTTGGGTATAGGGCTTCCCCCAAAGATTTAAAACCCTGACCCCATTTAAGACAAAGACAACAAAAAATACCCACCCAGAGTAGAACAATTCCATTCCATTCTAGTTCTTAGTAGAAGACAAAAGATAGGGTGGAATTAGAGAACCCTACAAGTACATACTATCTTGGTTTGAACACTATCTGACGTTAACTGATGACCATCTTGAGATCAGCAAATATCTGCGATTTTGGCCTGCTGAATACTGTTAAAACAACACTGAACAACAATTGCACTACTATACCCTGTTTAGGACATGTTTCCACCCTGTTTGAGACAGACAGACATAAAATTGTATAACTTGCTCAGAGCTGCAAATTATTATACCCTGTTGTGGTACCTCCTTGTCTCACCATGCCAGGAAAACCCACACGGGTTATGTGTATAAATATCACTTGCATCTCATGCTTTAGAAACTGGTTTTGCCGACTAACATTTCACATTTCTTTAAATTCTTGATCAATAAAGACCTTTTAAAACATAAACAAGTGAACATTAAAGTTTATAGCTGACGTTATGGCATCATCGTAACACGATTCTCAAGGCATGCTAATTTGCAGGGACTGTATAAGTATAGAAATCAAATCTCTGCATTACTTTTATTCACTTTGCCTTAGGAATGGTGTCACGATGATGCTGAAACATCCGCTATTAACTTTCACATTCTTTAAATGTTATGTGAATTTAGTTACTACATTGTCAAGATAAAATATATCTTTACAAGGAAACCAATACCAAACATGTATACTAAAACAAATCAGTGTTGTTTTATTTCATGCAAAATTATAGACTCCAGCAACCATATGTGTTACTTACTAACAGTGCTTTACAATAAATTGTATCTAATAATGATATTGTGACAAAAATTATTGCTAATTGAAAAAACATTAATAAAAACAAGTTCGTTAAGATCAGAAACACAAGGAAACAAACATTTTCCACTCTGCTGTCCCAGAAAACATCCATACCCATCCCATGGAGGGGTTTTGGTCTAAATGTCCCTCGGTAAATTCCACTCTTGGTTCATATTTTCCTTTACAATTTATGGCTTTTAGAGACCCCCNGAGATCTCCTTCACCCTTGGAATTACCAATAACCTGTCTTGGAATGGGGATATGGCTGTTTTCTGGAACCACACATTATGTCCCCATTTCTATTTCTTGTGACAAAACATCTGAGGTTTAAGTCAATGAAATCATAATAAGTCTGTATTCAGTTACATTTTTCAAACTCTGTACATGAAGTTTTATGTCGCCAAATGGAGATTCTTTTATCTCAAATCTCAGACCTTTTTCTTGTAAGGGATTGAGGTACGTCTGTTTTCCCAGGCTAGGTTTACACTTGTTATCAATGAACACAATTTGATTGCGTAGACCAGCTTGCGCAAAGGACAAAAGGCAGAACCCAACAACCCTTGGTTACAACCAATTACATTCAGCCAAATTAAATCCAGTAAATTATTTATAGCTAGAAAATGAACAAAAACACAATGAAACAAAAACATTTAAATATTTTTTTGATTTGCTGGTGATAGCTGGTGATTTATATAATTTTATATCTATTACAAAATAAAATTCACTTTATCTACATGTTAGCTGCTTGCTGTAAAAGAACCAATAAAAGCACTACTAGTTGCTGTTTTTCAGAGAATTGAAGTGCAGTGATATTGTGTGACATGTGACAGCGTAAACTCCATATTTAAGCATACCATCTGGTCTGCATAGCATTTGTTTCCTTTCCAAGAGTGCACACAGCCTGTGACAGCTCAAGGAACAAGATGGAACCAAAAATATTGTTCGTTTTGTATAGCTCTCGTACATCCCTCACCCTTTCATCAAAGAAATGACAACTTGCAAGTTATTCACCATCAAGGGAATCAAGGCCCTGCACTTGTTGCAAGAGGTAAAATTAGTTCATTTTACATTTTCAAGCAACTGCTACCATTTCATGTTGCATTGAACGCCAGCCTCTACTGTAATTTGTACTTGGTAGTCCCTGTGCAGACAACTCACATCATTTGCTGAATTCACTAGAAGCCACATAATATAACATTAATTTCAAGTTATATGCTTCTGGTTGTACATAGGGCTACTCAGGGCAAACATTAATCTGGTGTTTTTGTTTGACCAAGTTAATCATCAAGAGTTTTACATTATCTTAGAAACTGACACTATAAAATAAGATATTAAGAAGCTTGCATGTTTTAGTTTTAAAGGTTGCAAAGTTGTGGCTTTTTCCAAACAACATATCCTCTACAGGAACAAACAGATCAATTGGATCACTTTATGATTTTGAAGAATGATTGGGTATGTGTAAAAATACTTTGTTGAAAACAACAGAGTCACAATACCTTGTTAGGACCTGATTAAAATCATAAATTAACAAGTTCCCTTTCACAGAATGTAAATCTGACAGCTTTGGCTTACATCATTTATCAGAGCCTTCCCAAGTTTAATTCCCAGGTAAACCCACAGAAATATGTAGTCTGTTCTTTATAAAATAATAATAATAATAATAATAATAATTACATTTTGATTTATCATAAGAATTTTATCTACCAAAGTTTAGATCATTGAGTGTAAGAGTTGTTGGTTGCTTTTTGTTAGATACACAAGCCAGCTTCTGTTGAGTTCTGAACTTGTTGGATGCAACACAAAGTTTGTTGATTAATCTGATTTTCTTATTTTCCAGAAAAGACTTACTTACTACGTGACACATGACATGAGTGGACAGGGACTTTTAAACTGAATGAGTTGCGAATGCATTGGGCAGAATTACAAATTGAAAACCATGTTGAATAACAGTATGATTTTCAATGTAATATTCTGACCACACCTTGAATAAACAAATTACTTTTTGTACCCTGAAAACTAAGTACAAAAGATATTTTTAAAATGTATATAGTAAGTGTGGAAGTCAGATATAAACCGTAAGATGTCTCGAAAGTTCTGTAATCAATCACCTTTCTTTGATTCCATATCATCACTAATAATTCCTCTTTTATAGCTCTTCTCTCTACCTCTTTTCCTTTCATTCATTTACATTTTCCATGGTACTTGTGCTAAATTTGTTGTTTCTTTAAATCATTAAAATATTAGTGTTTTTTTTTAATACTAGCTTGCACTAGCTCTCTGCAATGTATTTACCTGTAAAAAGAAAACATAAGACAGTCATAAGCAACTTCTTGAAAACAAGGAGAGCAAGACTTTTTCCTGAAAATAATACATAGCGTTGTGACGTTAACAAAGATGTAACATGCCTTATGTAGTGTACAGAGGTACTTAGCCCATTCCTTCCCTTGCTGTAAAGGTTAGTTAATTCATTTAATTAATTGATTAACCAAACAAATGTTTACACTCAAGCACGTGAAAAATACTTCACAGTACTGCGATGAGAAAAAACTTCACAGTACTGCTTGTCATTTACAAGTCACACCATTTTTCACAAACCAATAGGATGAAGTAGATAGAAAAATTATAAGTACAATGCAGAGCGATATTATACATGAACACTTAAATGTTCAAACAGGGATTTATTATCCATCTTTTAATGTCAACCCAGCATCACCTCCCGTTCATAATCCACTGATACACAATGTACATAATGTATATCGGTACCTGATAAACAAGGAAAACTCATCTTGTCAACAGATCTAAGGTTTTTTTGATATTACAACCAGTAGCTGATGGCTTCATATTCTTAAAACAATCCTCACTAATAAGAATCTAAAACAAATGGTCTTACCAGTAGTAACCCTCTTTTTAACAAGAGATAGTTTGTATTCTTGACTTTTAAGCTCAAAGTTCAGTTTAGAAATGGTAGCCCCATTGCATGTGAATTGAACAGCAATACGTGATGGAGTGCTTGGACCTTGTGTTAAATCAAACCTTGCTCTCAAGGTACCTAACAACAGAAACAAAGACCATGTGAGAACGATGGCTCCTTGGATATTGTATTCTTAATTACAGTACATCTCACTAATATTAAGTATTTATTACAAGTTAATCTATGGCCATTTACTGTCACTCAGTGGTAAACATGTAACACCATAACTACCAAAAGTAGCATTTGAAGCTCATACAATCATAGAAACACAGCTGGCACATAAATAGTCACCGTCTTTGAAGAAAAACTGTCTACAAATATTGCTTTGAAGTAGAGAGAATAATATATAGCTGGCTTCACACCATATTTACTGCCAAGAATGGTAGAATTTATGGATTAAATTGAACATGTGGCCACAGGCCTGTGAGTTGGTGAGGGTTGTGTGGGTGGGTGGATGGGGAGGAAGCCATAAAAGGACCTGTGTATCAGTGACCAATAAGTGTGCAAAATAGGGACCTACAACAGCATAAACAACAACAACAACAACAAAAAAACCTGAACACGAACTGACATTAGCTGAAAAAGAAGATTATAAATACCAGTACAACTGCTGGTTAAATATCAAGTAGGAGAGTGCACGGTAAAGGGATGTACAAGGAAAAGCAATACACATAATAACTTCAGGAATGAGAAGAATACCTATCCTTATTCTTTCAATTATTTTCTTTATTTTCTTGCGGGTGTGAAGACCAGCATGACTGAATGTTAACCTCAGATAATTATCTAAGTGAAAATCATATCATTTTAATCACCTTGAGGTTCAGATGTACTTGAGACTTCCTGGAGTTTCCATAATGCTCTCTGATGTTCAGCAGACCTAAACAAATTCATTGTAACAAGAACAGACAGGCAAGTTTGTAATAAGGAGTACTTTTCACTGCAGTTTTAAACAGAGAAAATAATGATAATTATAAGAGAACTTAGAAGTACTTAGCACTTATTTCTCCTTCTAAACAATGTTTAGTCCCAGCAGTATCTAGAAAAACTTTTTTCTAACATTTATTACACATTGATAACTACAATGATCAATAAAGCTGAAAGAAAAATACAGTGTCCCACAAATTACCAGGCAACTATGATTTAATCTCCAAACTCAAAATGTTAACTCTCCTAACAGATTGCTGTAACATTATTTAAATGTTTGATCACAGAATTAGGTGGTACTGCAAGACAACATTACCAAGTTGATGATTTTCTATTACTAATCTTATCACCAGTGTACTTGACAAAGTATTAACGCAAGGAGGAGAAAATAACGTATTGATCACTAAAACTACAACAAGTAGAACTTACCAAGTAGCAGACGGTTTAGATTGCATTATAGTGACTCCGCCATTCATTGGCACCAGCACAGATAAATTGCTAATTGAACATGGAGCCGACATGCAACTGGGATTATAACGATAGTCAACTCTGAGATCTGTTGCTTCCTCATCACATTTCCAGTAACTACACAGCTGAAGAGGAGTTGTGGAGAAGCCATTTGTCTTAACCTGGAATTGAGTGTACATGTAAGAAGCCAACACATTAAAATTTCGATTAATAATGACAAGACAAGGGGACAGCATACAGGAAGCAGGGTTCTCATTAAGTGCCAGCCACCAGCTATAAACCGGCTACTTCAATTTCTGAGCCGCCTACTTTTCGTGAAATAATACGTGTGTAACTTGTAAAGAGTAATTTTGGGATAACACAGGTTTTCTGGAATGTGAATGAACCTTGACTTTCCTTGTCTCAGGACAGTCAAGGCTGTAGCTAGAGAGGAGGCATGGGATCAGGATGTGGTGCACCATGGCCTCCAAAATTGACTTTTTTTAGGACATATCTCTAAGAGAGAATGTGTAAAATAGCCTTTCAGAGCCTCTCAATTTCAAACTTTCTGGGGAAGCATACCCCTTGACCTCCCTAGAGACTTGTCCATTCAGCACTCAAATCAGTGTCAGCTGTCTACTTCACAAAACTAGCACTCCACTCCCCAAATTAATGAGAACCGTGAGAAAGACTCGGAAGGTTCCTAAAATGCCCTTTACTTGGCTATAAATATAGCAGCTTAAATTTATCCATACCTCATATTTGATGATATCAATATTGTAGTAAGTGCTCGCTCCTTGTTCAGATTGTTTCTTAAGATGGTCGGCCAATGAAGCCATATTGAAATCATAACTTACTCCATCACCACCACTCAGCTGTCCTTTACTAAATGAAAAACAAAACACTTAAAATTATAAACGTTGTACTGTACTATTCAACATGCAATACATTAACTAAATGTAATTAAATTTGTCTACACAAAGTAGCATTGATAAGAATTAACTATACATATTCAAATAATGGTTAATAATAGCAGGGAAGATTATTTTAAGTCCTGTTTCCTACAAAAGGGGTAACAATTATTTGAGGGAGGAAAGTTGAGAGGTATTTCAAGGGTCACGAGTGATTATTTGAGACATTCAGTGCTATTCATTCTATACCCAGATCATCACAGATTTAATATACATAATTTATATTATTAAGACAAAAATTGTTTTCACTAAAAATTACTAAACTTATATGACTAAGAAAATTATTTCGCTGTGATTAGGTAAGAGCAGGCCAATTCACTGCAGTGCAAATTGATGTGGGTGCGTTAGCAATTTTGTCAGTCATATAAAAAAAGAGTAACCAGATGAAAGCTCAAGTAATTTAGGATTTACACTACTTGTGATATTTGAAAATTCTTTCCAATTGCACTCGCCTAAAGGGTCATGCAATTTTGAGAGAATTTTCAAATATCACTCATATGTTAAATCCTCATTGCACTCGTGTTCATGCAGTTACCTACTGTATACAAATACAGTTGATAAGTAACTCAAATGGCTTGACTAGCTCACTCCTCTATGGACAACTGATGCATAGCACACCTGTTAATAAGTGACTTGTTTGGTAATATTTGCTCCAGACATGATGTTCCACGTACTAAGAAACTAAGCATGGGAGCGTTTTCTACATCATAAATGAGCGGCAGAACACTGGCTGGGAATGACACTGTTATATCACCTGTAACCTTAACCATACACCTGACAAACAACAAACAAAGAAAATTCAACGTTAAAAAACTCTATTTCTCACAGAGGATCCATTGTTTGGAATATTCTAGAACCATCCACTGCCAGTGCTAGGGACTATGTCAAAAGGGTAAAAAAGTCTCACGCCCTCAGAAACTTGAACTTTAATGAAGAGTCACCGCAAATGGGCTGTCTCCAAATTCACAGGGATTTCGCCTTTTATTAAATCTATTCATATCTTTTATTGTACTTATCTTAATTTTTACTGTCTACATTCAGTTTTAATAATTTTTTTAATAATTCTTAATTTTTTACACGGCCCCATAAGCTATATTAGCTTTAAAACCCACCATGTTTAAATAAAAGATGTTGTTTGTTTGTTTTAATTTAGAGCTAATTTTGTTTTGTTCTTCATTCTCGAGCCATGACTGTAACCAGAAAAAAATTATGACTGAGGCAATGCCCATGAAAAATTATGACTAAGGCAATGATCATTGTTTGATTCTCTTCCTAGGTATTTAGGGTGTTAATGATGACTACAAACAATAAAAATGAAAAAAAAAAGGACTGAGGCAGGTGCCTCAGTTTGCTTTAATAACTGGTAAAAGTAGTTTAAAATTTAAACTCTTTGGCAGTCTTAGACTGAATTAACAAGCTAGGGTTACAATAAATAATATTAATTAAATCTAAATAATCTAATTGTACTAAAGATTAACTAATGTTACTAGCTAGCTACGGCCCTGCAACAGTGCTCAAGTTATAACAACAAAAATATCAACTTTCAGTTTTCAAATACCTGTACACCAAACTGGACCACATGAAAGTATTTTTAAAGCGGTCATCTGAATGGCTGTACACATGTGTGATTTTGGATTTTCTGGAAATTTTCCCCGGAAATAAAGGTACTATTTGACCCAGTTACAAAAGTTCCAGAATTTTCTGTTGAATGGAAATCACCCAGGGCTACATGTAGTTACCATTTAATGATAGATATCCATTGATTGATATTCACATTTCTAATCAACCCTACAATCTCTTAATATTAAATTGTGGACACAAACTTTAAAATTGGCTAATCAGATGGTCCTAAACCAAGATTAGTATTCTTCATTAAAGTTCTTTTAAATGCTGTTTTTATGCTTTCCCTATGTCTTTTCTTATAAATTAAGGGTAGGAATAGACCCCTTACTTGCTCTGATCACTCCCCCTAAAAAATGCATTGACAGACTCAATAAAGGCCACAGCAATTGGAAGACTGTCATCCTTTCTGCCCAAGACAGTTCCAGCTGCCCCTTTAGCAAACACCACACTTGACATGGTGGGAAGTCCTCCTATAGTTTTTGATCTCACCAAAGCTGCGACATTCTCTTGCGAGCCTCCAAGAGCTGATGTTGTTGTTGCCCTAGCAAGTGTCTGTGGAGGAGTAGTCACTGCTGTTGAGCCCATGTAACTTACAACAGCTGGTCTAGTCACAGTACTATTTTCATTTGATGGTGAATTGTTTGATGAATCTGATGTTTCTGTGTTGACAGTTGTCGGTGTAAAGTCAGCTAAGCAACTTAACAGTTCAGCTGAATATGACGTTGCTGATGATGACGATGTTGAAGCTGTCTTGGTTGTCTGACCAGGAACAAGTAATGATGATCCAGAAGTGCGTGGCTTAAAATATAGGAATTCAAAATAAAAATATGAGAACGACATAATAATAAATTCATCAATTCAACTGTCATGACAACAGGACAAAGATACAGATGTGAATCCCCAAAGGCAGCCAAACCCATAATTTTATGCAAACTGGTCATGTACTCTAGCCACTGATACAAAGAAATTTTTGGCAAGCTAGGTCATTTTCAAGAGTGAACTAAAAATAATTCAACATAAACATAGTTATCCAGAAAAACAAGATACCATTAAGAATATTCCCCTGATCCAAAACGCCCAGTATAGTTACACGCAAATCCTATAGGGTGTTCATCCAAGTGACAAAGTAATGAAATTTACATCTAGACTTTATAAAGTCCAGTTCATTCTTTGTTTACAACTGTTTACAATTATTTTTCACTTGCTCCTCGTTTACTTTAGATGTTAATCCCCCCAATTCATTTCTTAAAAGTAATATAACTCTTCATAACTTTCTGTTTGCAGATCTTTCTACCTGTGGTCTTGGTCTTGGTAAAGCGCTACTGACAGAAGCTGAACGTGGAATCTCTGATCCTGGAGGTGGTTTGAGGAACAGTAGAGAGTTACTGCTGTCACTTGCCACTGCTGTGGTTGAGAACACGATTCCAGTATCATTTGATGTTGTCTCTGGAACTGCCAAGTAACATTTAGAACTGAGATCAAAATAAACTTTTACGCATATACTTTCAGTTGTTCTTTCAATTTTTCTTAGTTTCCTATGAGATTTTCATAGGGCATTTTTAATAGTACAATTATTCCACTCATGCTTGTTGGATATGAGACGATTATAGCCAACTCGGTGCTATGCACCTCGTTGGCTATCTACCATCTCATATCCAATGTGTGCTCATGAGGAATAATTGTTATTACAAATACTTAATTGTATGAAGGGTTAACATCAAACCACAGTTTTTAGCAATGAAAATGCAGCTAGGACATACCACCAGCTGAAGGGAAATCATTTACAAATGAAGTAGAGGCCATTGCTCCTTTCTTGGCAGGTAAAGGAGGGGGAGATTCTGAAGGTTCTTCACGCAGTGTACTTCCCTTTTTGGCAGGAAGCAAGGGTGGAATATCACAATATTCTGCTTCTGTGTTTTCACTGGTGGATTCTGATGTGTTGAAAATGACCAAACACAAAATTAGTATTTAGAAACCTGACTGACACTACTGGAAAACAGAACAATGAAAATACAAAACTATGCATATTTGTTGTGTCTAAGAACACAATGCAAGAACAATGGATCAATTTGATCTCCTAATCTACGGGTGGTGAATGGTAAATGCAAGTCTTTGCGAAAAGGTGAGACTAGTGTTTTTCTTTGCAAGCCCAAGACATTTTAACTTCTTCAATTGCGGGACATGGACTTCATAGTGTTTTAAATGCAAGCTTGAGATGTTCACTTTCTAAGACGTTCAGACGTCATTTATAAAAAAAGCACCACTTTGAGACTTTCTAACCTTGCAAAAAAATTAAGACTGTGAGACATACATAACTGCTAAAAAACAAGACGGAAAAATTTGTGAGACCCATAGTTTTTGAAGGAGCATTTGCCACCCCTTAATCTCAATCTACGGCATTATAAAAGCACTCACAGCTCCTCCACAAGATGCAATAAAGACAAGGTATCAAAATGACACACACTCAATTGATGAAAATGTTAGTGAGACTAGTTTTGGCAACAAAATACTGAACCAAAGTATTTGTTGTTTGCATCATACAAAATAGTTAGTAGAATAAGAATCCTGCTGTATTATTGTAAGTAGAGTAAATATTGGAGTGTACTGTAAGTAGAGAGTACTGTATCTTACTGTAGGTAAAGTAAGTATTGTACCATACTGTAAGTAAAGTAAAATATTGTATTGTATTGTATTGTATTGTAAAGATAAGTACAAGTATTGCTCTGAAAGAAAGATAAGTATTGTTTCTAAACGTTAAGTATTGTAGAGTAAGTAGCAATTGTAGAAAGTGGCGTACTGTATTGTAAACAATGTATAAGTAACTATGTGTTTTGCAATAAAAGAAAAAAAGTATTTATTGTTATTAGAAAATACCATGGATACCTAAACTTGAAGAGGAAGGTAAAGCAGGAGCTGATGATCTCAAATCCCCAGAGCTTTGTGCTGTAAGCTCTGCATCAGCTATGTTTGATGCACCATTCTGTGACAGCTGAAGGGAATTTCGTTGTGATCCAGATGTCAGGGAATCAGCACTAGAAGCAAAGCTGGTTTGACTGAAATCTATGTCTAACAAATCATCACTTGAACGTGATCTAGGAGAAACAACAGAGCAAATTAACAAAAGCTTACAATGATGTTTGAGTACAACTAAATGATTCTTACAACATCTAAAGTAACACACTAACAAGATAAATGACAGTAAAGAGAATTATCAATTTGGTGATGTCTTGATCTACTATCAAATTCTTAAAACTAATGTAAAAAGAAATGTATGACAATCAGTAAGGAGATTTTGAACTACTGGAGGAATCACAATAGGACAAACATGCAAAGTAAGTTAATTACAAGAGCTGATGGCTGTAGAAATTCAAGACATTACTGTTAAGCTACTTTACATAAGAGCAGTGCCTATTTTCTATGCTAGTAATGATAACTAGGAATTACTATAAGCTAATGTAACATTTTTGATTACTTCTCAATAAATACAAATTGAAAACCATGCAAATTCTAGTTATTGGCTAAAAGTCACACAGAAAGCAATATTAATAATTCTTACAGTTTGATAGTTGATGTATGGCTTGCAGACTTTGACCTGTTCCTCATAGCTTCACCTGGAAATAAGAAATGTTTACATGAAACTCGGAAAGTCAGCACCGTGTTACAGTGTTTTAAGATAACAAAAATAAAATAATAAATCACATCAACTTACCAGAGGAAGAACTTAGATGTTTTCTCTGAAGGAAGACAAAAGAAACAATCATTTATTATGATTGCTACTGACAGTAACTACAATTTGAGATAAAACTACACCTGTACAACTGACTCCCAATACAAATATCTTACTAACTGAGTTTGAGGTTTATAATGTAAGTTACAGACCAGGTTTTTTTCTCCTTCATGCTTGGACCATAAATCGAAGTGGGAAAAAATGAGGATCCGTAACTTACAGGAACAGACCATGAAGACAAGGTTAGTACGAAATTTATTATATCTCTGTTGCGTGTCTGACAAGTTTGGGACTGATTGCTATTCATGTGTAACGGCTTCAGTAGAATACAACCCGCTAAATTGACCAATCACAGCGTGCATAGTAACTGAACTTGTTAGTGTATTGTTTGCTTAGTATTGAAAGAACAAGAAAAAGATGACAGTGATGACCATAATACAAAGACGAAGGCAGAGTCCAAGGGCTACATACCAAAAATACATTACTTGAAAAAAAAAATTGGATAATTTTATTTTGGGACAAAAAAAGGGCCTTAAAATAACACCGTCCACAATTTTCAAGCTTCAAAATTGTTAAGCATCTGAATTATTTACAGTACAGTTTAATATTTTAAAGTACATTAAGCTCCATTTGGGGGCAAAGCTCTTAGTTTCCTTTACGGAGCAAACTCTAGTTGAGACAGTGCTTGAGATAGGTAATGGCTTGATATAATTTGTGTTATTTTCTAGTCTGTATATCTGTAAAACCTTGAAAGTGAAGTAAAACTATCATTTTCACAAGATAATGTTGTTTCAGTGTATATTGTGTTTTGTAGGTGCAAATTTACGTAAGGTAGGTTTCAACACACTGGCTGAAATCTTTGTCCAAAATTTGTCCAAATGCGACAATAAGTGTACAAAAATTGAATGTCCAACAACTTTGGAATTTTTAACACCCACAATTTTTTTACAAGTGATGTAATTGAAAGCTTACTTAGACAGTAAAAAATTGACAACTCACCATTGTGGACGGTGAAGAGAGACTAAGAGTTCCAGTAATTTTCTTTATTTCATCAACTGAAGCTGTTTGTGGTACTTTGTCTGCTTCCACTGGGTTTATGACAACTTGCAGTTTTCGAGGCTCATCTTAGAAGGAAATGTTCATCAAGTGGTTAGGAATAATATTGCAATGATTTCAAAGGAGTTACAGTGTGGAGAACAAAAGTTGGAACATCTTGAAAAATTGCTCACTTTTCTCATCGAGGTAAACGTCGCTCATTTTAAATTCTGAGACAAACTTGAAGAACTTTAGGCTGTACTTTTAAATATTTGGGAACAACAGCTCTTCTCTTTTAAATATTAAGTACTCCAGACGACAGCCATCCTTTAATGATGTTGGATCAAATACTTACCATCATCTGAATCTGAATCAGATGAGGAACTGTTTCCTCCTGATTTGGTGCCTAAGTCATTGTTAAGAACAAAAATTGCCTGTGGAAACAACTCTGCATGCAAAACTAAAATAAAAACCTCTCAAACCACAACTGCTATCTATGACTGTCCCATTAAAGGAGGGCATTCCAAAAAGCTTACTTTTTTGTCTCAACCTATAGCAAGTAAACATTGGGTTTTCCACTCACCAAAGTTTCAGCCTTTTAAGTGCCTACTATCCTGAAGAAATTTGTCTATAAAGAAGCCCAAATTTGACTGAACTTGCCAGCCAGGCCGTGTTTATGTAACATCATGCTGTCCAACTCAAAATTGGCAGAAAGCAGAAAAGTCTGCAGTCGACTTGGCATCCTTCACAAGGTCAGTAAAATGTATTTTTTCCAACCAATTATTGACTTCACTATCTTCACTGCTATCATTTTTGGGGTTTGGAGCACATTTTGCTCAAAATAACGCAGCTCAAGAGAAGCCATAAATTAGAGCGGTAGTTAAAAGGCTTTTCTGAAGACATTGGACATAATCCCTTGGAAGGAATGACATCATGAAAACAAGGCTAGCTGCTGAGTATTGTTTCAAGATGGCAGCAGAAATGTCAAATTTTGGGCTTCTTTGGAGGCCAATTTCATAAGGAAAACCAGCAATTTAGTTGCTGAAACTTCTGGGAATGGCTAAACTTAGTGCAAGATTTTAATTGGCATGGGGAAAAAATTGGTTTTTTGGAGTGACCTTCTCCTTTTAGCAGTGGCTAGCATGCTGGGATTCAGGCTGAGGGATTTGAGGTTGATCCACTTTACCCTCCAAGGCAATGGATACTGGTGAATTTGATGTTTTTGGAGGAGGACCTTGAAATGGAACAGCATCCTACATGTATCCAGGGATGGAGTAAATACTCCTTTTCACTTGATGCTACAGTCTAGCCAGGATATGCTCTGGCACTATGAACTACTTGCCGCGATGCACAATAAGCCTCACTTTACCTTACCCCAAAAGCATGCTTACATAGGAAAGGTGGTAAGCCTGTGGTGATGTATACAAAGCATGGTGATTTATCACAATTTGCACTGTGGGTGGTAAGCTGGTAATGAGATAACACTATTAATAGTAAAATTCATACAGGCTTTCAGTTATGTCTTATGTTAGAGTTTAAGTCAAGGATACTTTCTGAATCAGGCGGTCTAATTCTGTATCCTTCCTCATCTACTTCAAATGATGATGACTAAAAATGATATCAGTTAGTCAGCCGTTACAGAAACATAAAAACAATGCAAAGCTTATGAGCTTACAGAAAGTTTGCATATTCCAGGAGTGATAGATATCTATAGTCTCCTTACAAACACCAGTATGATGTATAACAGGGGTCCATAAATAATAAATTGATTAACCAAAGATGTTGATCAAGATTCTCAGGAATGACATAAAAGAAAATGCAGAGAAATCAGACAAGAGAATTAGGAGTTAAATATTTATTTTTAATTAGTACTTACTGCATCCCCTCCTTCACTAGATGGCGAGTCACTGGTGAAAAACAACAGACAGTTTGTCAGATAATTTTGAGGTCAAGGCATGCAGCAGAACAAAGATAATTTTTTTTTTTTTCAAAAAAAGGATTAATTTGTTGCGTGCATGACAGAACTTACACTGGTCCATTTTGAGCTTTGTCCTTCTTAGCTTTCTTCTTCTTTTTCTTCTTTTCTATTCTTTTCAAAGTAATGGGAAACCCTGCAATAATATTACATACAAAAAACAGATTTAGGAAAAGACCATTTCATGGTGCTGTGAAATGTAAGTGAGCCTCTACATGAAAGTGATGCTTGGTTTGACCTTGTGATGATAAAGATTAGAAACTTGTTAGTAATATTAATTGGACTGAGTGGCGTCCAATTCAGGGAGTAAATGCACCAGTAAACGAGTGCGAAGCGCGAGACCAATTTGAAAAATTGAGCATGATTACTCCCTGAATTGCACGACATGAGGTCCAATTACCAATTAATTGTATCTATAACAAACTTCAGAATTAAAATGTCATTTGGGAAGTTCTTTTAAGCACAAATGTCTGTAGCGCTTTTCAAAAGTTTTGAAAACTGCAGGAAACAGTGCGAAGGAAAACATTAAAGCCCGCATAATTGACATGCGAATCACGTGGGTATCCAATTATAGACATCCAATTACAAAAAGTTCAAATTGGATACCTGTAATTGGACACCCACGTGATTGCGTGTTGATTACATGACAAATAGGCACGCGAAAAACCAATCAACATCAAGAATTTTGTTATAGGGACAATTAGCATGATAACAGGGTAATTTACATTTGACAATAACAACGTTTGTATCATAACAAAGTCAACTCTAGCTTCCCTTCTGCTTAAAGGCCTAATCACTAAGCAAGGGACTGTAAAATGGGTTACTGTGCTGTCAAAAGTGGAGATGCAGTTTAGTTGTCATGATAACAGGTTTAAGCTCCAGATTTTCAGCCTGGCCAGATCACTGTGTTGTGTCTTTGGGTAATTACTTTCACAGAACTCCCCTGTATGAAAATTTTCAAATATGTCCGAACTCTCTCACAACTGGAAATATCATTTTTTTACACACTTTCTTTCTAGACCAAAAAAAGTCCAGTAGCAGCCTCGCAAAGAGGGTTTGGATTGCTCACATATATTCATACATGTATGCTTGCATGACTGTTTCCATTTTAAATATGAGTAGTTTAAAATGAGAAATGATATGAAAAGTTGCTACCTTCAAAATGGGGCTTGACTCCCATGCATATCCCACTCACTCTCCACTACATATTCTTTTTATTTTTCAGGAGAGAAGAGAGACTCTCAGTTTCTTAGTCTACTTTCTTTCCTCCTCCTAAGCAGCACTTAGTGTTGGTATGTCAATGAATACCTGATGGATGTTTTACAGAATTCAAGCTGGGTGAATGGTTGTTTGTTAAAGCACCTTCTGCTTGACCTGTATACTCTTCGAATGTAACGACATCTATAGACAGAAAATACAACATCATTAACTAAGTAACAAAAAGCTCAGTGTGTGAAGTCAGCTGTAACTTGTTTAAACAATAAACCCAAACCACATTGGAGGAAACTAGGATGGCCTTGGAACAACTGGAAGTGTTCCATGCTTCTAGAGTTGGAACAAGTGGGCTACTCCAGGGGATAAAAGCACAAGCAAATAACTATTTGCGCATGAGAGTAGGGGTTGACAGCTCCTGGGGGGAGAAGGTAAAGGAATGATGTTGCCTTGCTATGTAATACCTGGGATGGCTTTCCCTGTCCCCTTGCTCCTTACAAACTGATCCAACAGATGATGCACTGTCAGTGCTTTGACTTGTCCTAGGAACTCCTTGTAAACCTACAGCATAGAGATAATAAAAGTTAAAGTGTTAAGCTTTTAAGACTAAGAGAACATAGTGATTTCTACACTGGAACTCCACCTTATGACCACCTGTTAAAACAACCACTGCATTATCACAACAACTTTTGTCCCACAAAAAGGTTGGTAAATTTTAAACTCAAAACCTCTTAAACTCAAACACCTCAATCTGTAATTTCTCTTGATAAATTTACCCAGTAGGAAGCACATTTTTGTATTCTAATTGACTCTAGCATTATATTTAAGAAATAAAAAACCTACACTGTGTTTCTATCGAGTTTTAGTATAAATCTACAAGCGTTCTATCACGACTGCCGTTCTCTGATCGGCTACGCCACTCACTATCCAGGACTCAACACTAACGGTAGCCAACTAGCCACGGACCACTAGAAATTTAGTTTTGGCTGGTAGGTTTTCAATTTCCACTAGCCACTTTGGCTAGTCAACAAAATGAAATTGGCTGAACTAGTTTCTGTCTTTTTCAAGGAAGACAAACACAAAATTTACACTTCTCTCGGAAACAAGGTCAGAATTTCATCGTGGACATATCATGGTACCAGGCATGTGGTGTTCACTGAGCACGTATGGAAATTTAAGTTTGTCTACTTTTCGCCGGGTGGTATGTAAACGGGGAACTGAACATGTTAATTTTGTTGAAAGAAATATTTGACAAACAAGAGAGCATTTTCTGAAAGCACAAACCAATGCACTTTTTTGTTACAAAATTTTTTTCATGCGCAAAATAGTGCGGAACTGTAAAGGGATAACATTTCATTGAGCATAACAATACATGGGTGATTTGTCGTTGCATACATACTTACAAACTTACCACTACAGAAATATTTATATGAGAAGATAAGATTGCCAAGGAGATAAATTTTGTGTTACTCTAAAATGTGAAGTTGAAGTGATTCAAAATAAAAAATTTTTGCAAAATCGCCACATTTAAGTGTTGCAAAATATGTCCACCCCCAAATCGTGAAATAAACATGTCGTGAAAATTTCATGTAATAAGCTAGCCAATCACAATGCTTGGCTAGTAAAAAAAGGTTTTGGCTAGTAACATCTAAGTTGTCACTAGCCATTAGGCTAGTACATTGAAAAGTTGGTGTGGAGCCCTGACTATCTATTTTGTGATACATAGTGAATAGCATAGTAGTGTACTCTTGTTAACAAAATGACAATCGCTTCTTGGCATTTTTGAAGTGTCTGTGAAGAGGATTCAGATTAAGTTTATACTGAAACAATTAGCTTATTCACTCTCAATTTCTCTGTGTGATAGTTGACTCGGGCTGTGCCCTCATCAGCTAATGCATGATAGAAATCTTGAGCTTGTAATCTAATTGTTTAATAGAAACACAATTTTAAACCAATAAGTCCATGTGATTTCTTTGAGCTATTTTCTAAAAGAATGTTTAGATTTTTTCTTTTTTCTTTTATTTTGCAAGCATCCCCATTAGATGTTTTTTACTGCCATAAAGTTATTTATTCATTCAATTCAGCCACCACTTAAAATGCCTGAACAGATGAGTGACAAAATAAATTCTAATCACTTCAACATACCTGCTCAATAGCAACTTGGCCCGTCCTCTGAGATTCAATGTATTGTTCAAGGTATCTAACTATTACTTTCAAATGTTCTTCATCGATCTTCTGGAATTTCTACAAAATGCAAAATCAGGAACAACTATTTGAAAATGCAAGCTGACAGGTTGTGAAAATAAAGAAAATCAACAACTTGGAATATGTTTTTTTTATGTAATGATTATTACTAATAAAATAATTAATTTATGCTAACAAACCTTGGATGCATCCACCATTTTGTCATGAAAGTCATTTCTAATAATTTCCCTCTTTTCAACCAGCAGTTTATATTCTTCAGCTGAACAAACAAATGGTAAAAAACAACCATTGGAAAGGAATTTGTCAACAAAGATTTGGAATGTCAAAATGAATCAAAGTCACACTCTAATACCTGCTTTCTTCATTTTAGATTCAGCCTGTATTTAAATGAAAATGAGATAGCAACATCAGCTAAATCAAAACTTGTATAATAACATTATAATAATATGAATAATACAAATCCTAAATATGACTGTATAATTATGAATCCTAGTAAGAAACTCAGTTAGATAATAGAAAGAAAACAGTTATTTGTGGTCAGAGCTATTAAGAAAAGGTTTTCTATGAGAGTATCAGACATGGAAGGTGAACAGGGATTGACAGAACAAGGCACAATCTGTTACCATGGGCAGTTGTCTGCAAATTGTGAATGTTTGCAGGTGTTCATATCAAATCTATGTTCACTTATTCACAATGCCCATATCTAATGTATGACACTTCCCTAGATACCAACTTTCAAAACTGACACAAAATCCTGAATGACAATGTGTAAATTAATGACGATCAAACAGCACCATGTGAAAGCGCTGATGTCATACTTGGGTTTCAATCAGACAAGCGAAAGTTATGAAGACTGACTGTAGGAGAAAAAAGTTATAAGACATGCATGTTTTAAAAAATGAGCCATAGCAAGAGACAGGGCTAAAAACATTGCCTGTTGAACTCAAGCAAATTCAGTTACTATACTAATCAATAATACATTGAGTAGTGTGCCCTTTGTAAACTTGTCAGGATCATTACCAAAATCATATCACTAGGACTCACCTTTTCAATCTCCTTGGGACTAGATCCATCCTTCTTGGATTTATCGAGTTCTTGACATCTTGCATAGTAAGTCTCCTTTGACTTCACACAAAAAAACGAAGTTAACTCTCAGTTAAGGCACACTTGACGTGGCATGATGCTTGTCCTGGGTATGTATAAGTACTGAATTGTTGCTCAGACACAACTTACAGTACACTTCGTGCTTAGAAGGCAAACCTTAAAAGCCTCTTGACACAATAATAACATGGTATTTAACAGGTTTGCAACATCTTTGAGCAAGATCAAATAATCTTGTTCTAAATCATGCCTTCTTGTAGACAAATTTATGGGCAGCCCAGGAAAACATGCTTTAACTCTACTTCGATCTGGGAATGGGATTTCCCTTTACCAAGATATATACTGGGTAGTTATAAGAAGTATTGTATTGTATCAGTGTACACATACATTCACATGCCTTTAATGTAAACAATAATTACCTTGACGAGGTAAGCTGTCATTGTTTGTATGGTCTGTACTATATCAGCTGTGCTGCCAAACTCTTCCTTAGCCTGAAACAATAGACAGAAACAATGTTAACCAACTGACTTATATAAGGCAAACCTTTGGGAAATATTCAGCAGGCCTCGACAGTAGTCATCATTCCCCCACATACAATACTGTCCCCGTGGATGACAGACCAGTCATGAGTCAAGCAAACACATTAAAATGACTATCTAGATCAGTTCACTTGTAAGAAATAGGGATGGGAGGAGCTTAATTAATAGATACAACCTAGGTATAAGAGTATTATTCTGTTCAGGGAATGTTAAATTGCTGAGCCTGGTCTTAGTGGCTAAGGCTCCTGGCCACCATGACAGCCAACCACCCACCCATTATTTTTTGCCCTTTGCAAATTTTAGTAGTTTTATCATTAACATATTTTTACTGATTATCTATTTTAGAATAAACACATTATAAGTCCCTAACTCTGACAAAAAGTATACTGCTTTATCTTCACTTGTCTGGATATTGAATAGTGTTGAACACTTCATAAAAAAGTCACCATCCTTTGTACATACTTAAGGTTACTGTAAACCTTTGCGGGTGTCATTAGCGAAAAAAAAATATTACCGCGCTGTCTTAAAGACAACCAGTACAAATTCTATATCAATGCAAAGGTTATAGAATGCTCTATTTGATAAAAATTGTTTCGCCTCAATTTTTTTTAACCATAAGGCGAGCACGACCTAAAAATGCGAAACGACCGACGTTCCATTGAGCGAATTTATTGGGTATCAAACTCAACCGCATCAACAAAGTTACTGCATTATATCATTCACTAGGCATCAATCATCAAAACCGTTTGAGGGTTTGTTGATATTCCTATTGGTTGTTTTGGAAAATTTCTGTCAAGTGTGATGTCCAAAAATACAGCGACACGTTTTATGACGAAGGCCATTGCAGGAGATCAATTTTGAAAAACGCAAATCCCCCACACGGCTTTGATGATTGATGCCTCATGAATGATATAATGCAGTAGCTTTGTTGATGCGGTCGAGTTTGATACCCGATAAATTCGCTCAGTGGAACGTCGGTCATTTCGCGCTTTTAGGTTGCGCTCGCCTTATGATTAAAAAAATTGAGGCAAAACAATTTTTATCGAATAGAGCATTCTATAACCTTTGCATTGATATATAATTTGTAGTGGTTGTCTTTAAGACAGCACGGTAATATTTTTTTCGCTAAGGACACCCGCGAAGGTTTACGGTAACCTTAAGGTAATTAAATAATCGATTAAGTAGTTGCAGTGTAAGGTCAAATTTTTGCTGACCAAAAGGAGAAATTTTAATAAATGTACCTGTTTGTGTCTTTCCTTCTGTTTATCGCCATATTCTTTCAGTTCCTTGATAAGATCTTGAAATCTCCCCACAACTTGCATATGGGCACTTGCAAGCTTCTCAGTTGCAACCCTCAACACACCCCAAAGTGGCTCAAATGTGCTGTGAAATGAATATGTGATGATTAGGATAAATTTTTAAGTCTGAATTTGGTCTCTGTTACTACAACAAAAGGTTTGTCCCTTATCAAAATGTTTTCTTTGAAGCTATTTTTCATTTTGCTTACTTATGTATTTCATTATCAAGAGGAAGTAATTTGTCATTTAAAACCCTCCGGTGTACTTTTGACATTTTCTCACATTGAAACCTTTATTACCTATTATTTACCATTACATTTGAACCTCACTAAATTGAACTTTGAGGGGGCATAAATAGAATAAAATAGTGGGCATTAAAAAATAAAATGTAATATAATAAATAAAGTAATTTAAAAGATAATTACCCCAGGGTATTGATGTATACAATTGATTAAATCAAAAATAAATAAAGTAACTTATCAATAAAATAAAGTACATGTACATTGACTAATAAAATGTCATATTGACCTAGAAACTTTGGTACCTTGTAATAAATACTCATAATAAGTATCTAGTAATAAACAAGATCACAGTCTTTATTCTTTATCTTAATAGCTTCCTTTTCGAAGGAAAAATTATGGATATAAAATGCAGATTTCCTTAAGACATATTTAAAAGAAGTTATGCTGACTCCAGAAAGCTGGAGAAAAAAAATGTCTACCAGCTTCTGATTTCACTCTCTTGATGACCATCTGGTTTGGTAAGCATGTTGATCTAGTACCGACTTTCTTTGTGAAAAGTTCCAGAATTGGTTGTAGTTCCAAGCCATAAAATACCTTAAACATCAGGAGAAGAATGCGTCTCTTGTAAAGATATCTATAGAAAGCCACTTAGATTCCTTCACAGGACACATCACAATAGAACATCCCCTCACTGCGAACCTATTGTTTTAATTATATTCCTCATTCTTTTTTCCTTTTGTTCTCCATTGTTTTACGACAACTGTGTCTTGTACACCAGTTAACAACTCTCAAGAGAGCGCAGTACAGACTGGAAATCATCTTTAAGCTTTGTGTTATTGGAAACCACATAATCCATGAGGCTCAAAAATTAATTTACTTTTTACATATCAGTGACATTATCATTTGTTTATCTATTACTTCCTGTAATTTTGCAGATATGGCATTATATCACAGGATCGTAAATTAAAGAACTCTTAGAAGAGGCTATCTTTAAAACGGGGAACGGGGAATCGGGGAATCGGAATGGGAATCGGAATGGGAATGGGGGAATCGGAATGGGAATGGGAACGGGGAACGGGGAACGGGGAATCTTTAAAATGGAGAATCTTTAAAAGCGGGAATCTTTAAAACGGGGAATCTTTAAAAGCGGGAATCTTTANCCATTTTAAAGATTCCCCGTTCCCCGTTCCCCATTCCCCGTTCCCCGTTCCCCATTCCCTGATTCCCCGTTCCCCGTTTTAAAGATAGCCCTTAGAAGATGGAGATCTAGGACTAATTGGAAATTTAATGAAGCTAATTATAGGCCAGGCCTGGGTCTGTCCAATTTATATAAATCCATAAATTTATGAATTACTTATTTTGCTGTTTAGTGTCTGGTGTTATGTAAGTGGGATGAAGCTTTAAATAATTGACATCACTCTGTGGAATTAGTAAAATAATAGAACTCATTGCAAAATGTAAAATTTCTACAGACAGCAGAGAAATGAGGTTCAAAAACTTACATTAAAAAACTTATTGTTTTGACAATGTCCATGTTATTGTCTTGTTATTAACACCAAAAAGAATAACATTGACTAAGTTTTTACAAATTTGTAATTTAATCAGAATTTTCTAATGACAGTTGAAATAAATACAACAGTGGATAAGATCGTATTTATTAACAACAGATTCCTCGATGGTTTTGAAATTAAACTGGTTGATTAAAACCAAGAAAAGGCAAAACACTGAGACTCAATCAAAACAGTTTCGGAAGCAAAGCTTTGTGCCACAGCTAAATCTGTACTTGCCAAAGCAAAGTTAATCCGCAACAATGCCACAGAGAATACAATATTGCACGAGATTATCCCCGGAAAATGGACCGCTTCTAGATTGGTTGAATTTGGCTTAAAATATGCAGAAAGTGACCTAAGTACACAGATAAAACCCACATTCGCACAAAATTAATGATCGAGAAGAATACCTTCTCATGTCGCATTACGTTTCGCTGTGGTTATATCTCAACAAACATTCAAATTTAATTTATTTCTGGTTTCGATAATGATACAATCTCGCAAGTGAGTAAAACATTTAAACTTGAAATGACATTCCTTTCGGAAACTTCTCAACAACGGAGAACTTCCAGCTGCCTGACAGTTCGTAAGTAAGGAATATCGCAAGAATTCAAAGCTTCCAAAGCTTTCAACATCATAATTTAAAACCACAAAAATTTTTACACAGTACCCACAGAATTAACAAGGACAACCTCCATTTCCTTACCCAAGCTGTGCCACAGAAGTTGCAGATTTCCCTAGTTTGAGGAGTGATTTCGCGTACACTTCTTCCACAGCAGATCTGAAATCGAAGAAAGGGTACAACAATAATTTGTAATCACGAACTTGGCATCAGCGAACCGCAGTATACTCACGAACGAAAGTTTAGCCAAACATTTCCTCACCTTTCGCGTACAAATTCGACAAGCTTGCAGCTCGCGTTGTTACCATATTTCATGTTATGATAGAGCACGTCGAATCCGGCATTTTTCTCCCCCTAAAAAGTCGTAAAAGAAGAATGAAATTACTGTAGCATACAACTCCGGATGTCAAGTAGCTACATGAATTGATGAGCTTCAAAACACAGGGTTTAAACGACAAACACACCCAAAAATGGTCCTCGAAAAGCACCATTTTCTATCTCAAGTCCACAACCAGGTTGTCAATCCTTAGATATATCATTAGGTCACGAAAAAGTGTATAATGAACGTCAACATGGCAGCTTGAACGAGAACGGAAGCCTTCAACGACAACAGCGACAGCAACAGCAACAGTTTTCTCGCGGCTGCGACTGGCGGTAGTGAACCTGGGGCGAGGTCACTTAAATGAGGCGTTTGTGATAATATTTTCCGCACTTTTATGAGAAGTTTTCATTCAATAAAGACCCTTGTATGTACAAAGAAGTATTAACTGGATGAGTCTAGACTCTAGACGTTTTCTTTGAAATTTGCGTTTAGCGATCGATGTAATGGCCATTTTATCACCATACGAATGACTGGAGATAAAACACTGGATAAAACCAACATAAAAATGTCAAAAATGGTATAAGCTTGAATTAGAAATCCCAAACAAGTAACAAGCTTAAATCATCAAATTATTTTGTACTGTTTACAAAAAAAAAGCCCTGGGTAATAGTTTTAAAATCAGACGAGTCTTGAATTTAGTTTAATTTGACTCTGAGTTCTTGCAACAATAACTGGAAAAGTTCCCAATTGTCTTATAAACAGAAATACATTTGTACAACGACGTCAACAAAACACTACGAAAAGCTACTGGAAGATACTTAAAGTGAAAAAAATATATATATAAGATTACCTGGGGTACTCTGTCAAATACTTTGCTTTTTTGTTGCCTCTCGACCAACTTAGCTCCGCCTCGGCTTGTTTGAATCTTAGGTTTTCCGACTCGTGAAAAGAGATCGCTCAGTGATAAATGAAGTCTTTCTCTGCTACTTTCCTTTTTGTTAACCAAGCTGTTTCTCTGATCTCCGGTCTCTGGTCTCACTCGTAATTCTTCGTCTGATAAAACGCTCAAGCTACTTGAAGAATCACCTTTACCAACAAAAAATGATGGACGAGTCACATCTTTCAGCGGAATAACTCTGTTTTCGTCATCGTCGCTGTTCGCCAAAAGTTCTTTATCCTCGCCAAAGAGGTTGTATGAGCTATGACCACTGAACAGGGAGGCAAGTGAGTCTCTACGTTTCATCATCTGCTCCCAAAGCTGCCATTTTAACAGTTTTCTGGAAACTTTTGCTTCAACTTTCTCGCCGCTTTAGAAGAAATCCCATTTCAAAGAAGTCACGGCTCCAGCAGAGGCTCAGCTGCAAATCTTTACATGGTTCCAAAAGTAGAAGTACTATTTCGAGCTGTAGTTTATGTTAGAACTATTCTAGACTTTTCATTTTGAGCTCAACTTGGTTTATGACGACTTTTCGTGCTTTTTGCATTGTAGGGCAAACAGTGCCAAATTTCCAAGATCCCGTATGTTGTGCGCCTTTTCTAGGCGGCCGAATTTTTGAAGAAAAATTAAAACAACAACAACAGCACTTGCTAAAGAGGCTGAATCGTTTTGAATTTGAGTATTTGCTGTAATAAAGTTTGAGATAACCGCAAATTTATCTATAAACGGAAATCTGGTACGTACGACTGACATAAGGCAGGGAGTAAAATTACATCGTGTAGGCCTGGATCGAGTTATAATTTTAACGAAAGCTCCTATTCTGAGCTTGAAACTAAAGTAGATCTAAATCACAGGAAATAAACGTTCCAATTATGGCTTGTTCAACAAATGTCGACAAATAACAGCTAATGGCAGGAGTAGGAAGTACTAAAAGCCAGCGAGGATAGTGGTAATCAGTCAATAAATAAACCTACACTGCAGGTTGTAAATAAACGTAAAGGAATTCAGAAATTAATTCCGTCAATAACTGTGTGAGACTTCTTCTGACTATTTCCTTAACTCGACACGCTTTGCTGGATGTGAAAATCTTCTGATATTTTCTTGAAGTTTCCAATTTCCGTGTCTCCCAGAGAAAAATGAAAAACTGAGAAATGAAACGAAAAGTGCACAACAACCACGCATTGAATGAGGCGCGTTTTTTTTCTTTTGTCAGCTTTCGACGTATGTGCATATGCGTAGCTCAAGGATCGGTTGAAGGGCATGCGAGCTATCATAGTATGCTATGCCAGTTGTATTTTAATGATATAGCAACACAGGGTGTACGCTTCGCTAGTTCCTCGCTGAATACTCAAAATGCCACACATAAGTCTGTACATAGCTTATTTCATTGCTTGTCCGTGGCTGACCTTGAGATCCAGTGAAGGTAAGTGAAAGAACAGTTTCTTGATACACAGTCTTAGCGGACGTAATTCGATGTATTTCATCGAGCCTATACTGCAGCAAGGTAGTCGGATTGCATTGGATGGCGTTTCGAAAGCCATCAAAATCATCTCCATTAACTTCGATGGACTGATTAGTAGCTCTTTATCACGTTCTATTCGGCCACGCTGTTATGTTACTATTAAGCAGTAAATACGGTATCAGTTTTGGACGAAACACATTCGTGGCAAACTGTCGTTGGTAACAATGGCAGCTGCTGTAAGGTCGGATACCACAAACAACACGAGGACGGATAAATCGATATCCAAAGCCGCAGTCACTGAGCTGTTGTTGTGTTTAACTGATCACAAAAGAAACTAGTATTACAATGTGGATTCATTCATTTAGTAGTGATTTTCTTTATCTCCGGTATTTCCGTTCTAATTTGAGACGTAACTTCGCTTTTGGATTACACCAACGTCGGTTTATTGTGGCAACAAAGTTCTGTGTTAGGGATATTGATGTCGTAGTTGTGATTGACCCAGAGTGTACTACGATTGGGACAGCTTTTGAAAAACAAGTTTTGTTCGTTCAGTTGTACCGAACACTCTTTATCATGTTTATGCTGTAATTGTCTGTCTGCATGCTGGGTTTATGTCACGTATGAAAGACACAGTCACGCTATATTTTGGAAAACACGAGACACCCCATTGAGGGTTTTTCGCCATATTGCCGGCAGTGAAAAGAAAGACAGAAACTGTGCAATAGTATTTGATGTCCTCTGTACCTTTTTCTCTGAAACCATCTCAAAGTTTGCCAGAAAATTTAAACATAATTATATATGTCCAAGAGACTATGATAATAGTCTGTAGTTTTATCTTTGTATTTGGTTCTCGTTAAACGCTGATCAACTCCACATCCCGGAATAGATTGAACTTGTTTATAAAGCCACCTTCATAAAAATATTTCACGACTATTAAACCTATCTTAAAAATTTAATAGTATAAGCGAAGACATTGAACGACATTCTTAATTGAAATGACGGTTAAACATTTACACGTGAAAGCTACTGATAGGAACGTTGCCTGTACATGTCGTACACGGGTGGAAAATGAATAAATTAGCAAGTTGTGTACCAATATTGTTATTGTTATGTAAATTTTGACATGTCGCTGATGTCAGAGGACATCAAAACTTCGTTCAATATTTCACTTATAATATCCTTGATGTCCATCCAAAATTAATTCTTTTAGCAAAAGTCAAAGCCATCGATCTATTGTTTTAGAGGTCGCGGTGGCAAATAGTGCACTCGGTTTGACTGTACTCTCACAAAACAAGTCGCAATTATGGCTCACACAGGATCTAGTCTATATTAACTGAATTAAAGCTAAACTTGTGTCTAACTCTCCTAGATAAAATGAACATGAGAAATAAAAACAATTATTAGCAGTTTACAGGGGTTGTAGCAGAGCAATCAGCGTTTGCTGACGTTTGCAGGGAATATTGGTCTTTCGCAAAACGAAACGTCCGAACCTGTATTCAAAGAAAAGAAAAAGACGGCTCTTACATAATAATAATAATAATAATAATAATAATAATAATAATAATAATAATAATAATAGCAAACTTTATTGAGCACTTTTCATACAAACTTGAATCTTACATGTATCTGGTAAAAAATTCAGAAATTCTGTTGTTCCTTAAGTTTTCGGTAATTATAATAGTAATAATAATATCAAAATAATAATTTATTATCATCATCGTCATATCATATATGTCATGATATCATGGTTACTACAACTAATGCTAATACTACTACTACTACTACTACTTTTTTT